ATATCAAGTGGACATAGATGTTAACATATGTGATATGTAAGAAGGAATCCTCTTTCGTAAGATGATAAGGTTGTACACCAGATATCCCAATTCTAATTCATTAGCATGTTAGCTCTATTTCAATTACTTAATTTCTACAATCCTTTTTCTTTGAAGTTGAAACCTTTACATTTCATTGTGGTGTAACAGTAACATGCTTCAAATAATAAATAACTACCTTGTATAAATATTATAGTTTGATTTACTGAAAAAAAAAAAATAGAGTTTTATACATTTGTCGTCAATTTTAAATAAGGGTATTGATCATATAAATAATTTCTAAAAAGTAAACGTATTAACACAATTAGATTCACAAAAAATTAATTATCATGTTACTAAACAAAAAGTATAAAAATATGAGGGATTCAATCAAACGGCTAAAACGAAAATGTGATATGGAATAAGAATAGCCTTAATGCAACACTTGGATTTGACAGGATATCTTATCTATCATATTTTTCAAGTTATTTTTCGTTATCTTACATGTTGGATTAATTTAGTAGTCTATGTACGTGACAACACCAACATAAACATTTGTTGCTCTAGATTTCTACCTTGTCCGAGATCGGTGGGTATGGGACTTGGTGTTAATAAAAGGTTGGTATTAAACCTTGTGCACCAAGGTAAAGAAAAAGAATTGAACTCTTGTTGTGAACACGTTAGAAGCAAAAAATAAATAAAACTTGCTGTGATTTTTTTATTCTCAAAAACTAATCGGTATTTTGAAGGATAACCTTATGCACGAATCATGACAATTTAGCATCAAAATGACTTAATCCTATATCAAACACTTGCATGCATACATAAAAAAACAGATCTTTCACCTCCTTGTTAGAAACACCTTGTTAACCAAGTAGGCAAACCCCAACTTGTGGTTGTCTTTCTAGTGGTAATAAAACGTTAAAGGAAACAAATACCGTTATTATCTTGGTTTGTTTCGAAGTTGAAATTACCTATTTATTTGATGTTGTTTTGGATATTTGACATATAAGTTATATGTTTGTAGGATATTTGTAGAGTCAAAGATTGCCTCTCCAAAAGATCCCTTATGAAGAGAAGGAGATTCCAAATCAAGTTTTGAATTTTTCAAAGGACAGAAAAAGAAATACCTGTAACTCGTCCAAGCTTCCTATTAGTGGATTGGTTTTTGGGGAATATGTTTCTAAAGCATATAAGTTCCTGGAAAGACTACGATGCTCATAGATTTCATGTTCTGCCTTGTTGATTCTTCAAGCGGCTTGAATCCGAAAAATTTTGTCCATGTTTCTATAAGATTAGGAATGGCAGGAATGGCTAGCTCCTCGACACCAAGAAAAGAGAGAACCTGGAATTTCAGTCTTTGTTACAACTTTATTAGGCTAAAAATTTAATTTACTCACCATATGTTAATTGCAAAATGAGAAATAAATTCTGGTATAAATGTAACTTTGATTGAAAGATATGGAAACGTACGGATTGAACCGAATTTAGTAGGCGGCGACACATTCCTTTCCACCTATAGATTTTACGTGTGCCGATAAAAGGCATTTCTGCAAGCTTCTTCCCATGAACCCTGACGTGATTAACACATACAAATAAAATATATGTTAGGATATATACCCTTTAAATGACACCTACTACCTCCTGCCTTGATTTATAGAAATGAATTAGAGAAATAACTGTATCGATGCTACGGATATCACTTCATCATCCTTCTCCATGATTGCAGTGAAGAAACCACCATGATTCAATAGTTTGAAGTTTGACCTGAAATGTTTTCAATAGATGAGGCCCTAAACACAATTATGTTTCCTACTTTGTCTTTGTAAATGATGATCTCAAAGATTGTATTTTTTAATTTTAGGAAGTGATTCAAGATTTTCATCTCCCTCCTCCTGGCATTGGTCTGCAGCTCAGCCAATATCTGAATATCCCTCCTTAAAATGCTCAAGTACCAGCTCACATGTGCCTGTTCCATAGACATGTGCTCATGGCAGAATAATGCCCTCTCGTGGAACATCCTAGTGATCTTAGTCACTGTCTTTGTCTTCTGATTGAGAGACGGAAACTCCTGGGCCAACCGCTCCCTTTCCACCCAGGGAACGGACTCGTCTCGAAACAGCTCGGTAAACCTTTCCCATGTCATTGCAGCATACTCCACGGGAGAATAATCATTCGTCACGAATTTCCACTAGCCCTTCGACCCCAAACGAAGTTGGTTTAGTGAACAGGTATAAAAACATCCCTCGACATTAAAGATCCATCTCATCACAGCAATCGGGCCCTAGGTCCCATCTAACATTGGTGGCTTTATGTTGCTAAACTCTTGGAACATCAATGGATCACCTCCATGGGCCTCGCAGCAAAAACAGTTGTGATGGCTGTGGCAACGGCAACAGCAGAGGCGGAAGCATAGCGCTCGTCAAAAGTCTCGATCAATGTGATCTTAATAGAACATAACATCTCTGGGATGGCCTCCCTGATAGTTGCGGCCACCTCCTTCACAATGATCCCGCGGATCTCCACATCACTAGCACTCGGCCTCTCGGGGTCTCTGGAGCCTGAACCTTGGGTAACCACCATACTCTCTTTGAAATATAAACATGTAATTCATCAGAGACAGGCTAAAGCGTACACACAAGACTTATATACTCCTGCAAATTCCTTAGCATCCTAAGACTTCTTTTTAAGTCGCATACAGATCCGATGCTTTCAGTAGTACGATCCCAATACTACTTTCCACACTAATCCGTATTTGTCTCAAATCATCCTCTTAAGATCCTAAGTCACAAGTACCCTATCCCACATGGATATCTAGCTATTCACTCTGCATAATTCTCAAACTAAACGTCTAGGCACTCATCATAGACTACTAAATTAAGGAAACAACTTCGTGGGCTAAGGCATCACAAATCATGCAACTCTAGCTCATACATCTTGATTATACCTATCCTATCATATAGCATGTAGTTCTAACAAATCAAATAACAACTCATCTCATAATAAAAATCAAGTAAGGGTATTTTGGGAAATCACTGCTCAGGCTCTGGGCGTACACACTGCTCCATCCTTCTTTTCTCTTAAAAGTCCTTTACTCTTTTGGAAAAAATATTTTTAAGAAAATCATATCCATTTTAAAAAAATTATCAAATTATCAACTCCTTAGTTTGAGTCCAGACATACCCGAGGTATGCCTGAATCCTTCAAAACAAGGCTCTGATGCCAACTTGTAACAACTCAAATTTTCAAACAAAAATTTCATTTAAATTTCCCAAAAACATAGTTTAACACCAACCCATGTCAAAATATAATTGTCAAATACATAACATCATAAAGCAAAGTCAGAGTATCCCAAAATCCACATATATCCTCATCAACAGGCGAGTGTGTACAATTATGCTGATGCCTTCCCGCGATCCTGGGTTGTACCTGAAACACATTTAAATCAACACTGTAAGCACAAAGCTTAATGAGTTCCCAAAAATACCACATATGCAAATAATTAGCCTCACGTAGCTGTATCTTGATAAGGACCCTCCGATCATGTGTCTCAGTGAAGATCCTCCGGTCTCACGTCTCGGTATGGACCCTTTGGTTAGAACTCAATATATAAGTCACAAAGACAGAATGTATAATAACACATATCTCAATATAAGCAAATAAGACCCTCCGATTAATAATACGAATAAGACCCTCCGGTCAAAAACACGAATAAGACCCTCCGGTCACACATAAATTACCACACGGGTAAGTATATGTGAGAAGACTCGCCTCACGTAGAAAAGCAAATAAATCTTGCACTCGAACTGTCGGTCTAGACACCGCCTAAAGTATGCCACATATAACTCTAATTAATAAATAATATTAATAAGCTCGCAATGCTAGACTGAGCCTCTCAACTAAACCTCATAAAGCTAAAAAGACCATTTTGCCCCTCCTTAGTCAAAAGTCTAAAAAATTAACCTAAAACTCAAAAGTCAACGAAAGTCAACACCCAACGGGTACATTGGGCGAACAACTCCCTACACGGGCGTACTACTAGCTTGTCTATATATATATATATATATATATATATATATATATTATATATATATATATATTATATATATATATATATATATATATATATATATATATAGACATTAGAAGGCCTAAAATCGGGGAGGCCACGGCTTCCCCTAGCCCTTAAGATGATCTGCCACTGTTCGTAAGATGTGACTTAAAGCGAAAATTTTTTATTTAATTAATATTTATATATATATATATATTTTCAACTATTATTCATTTTTATACGCATATATAAGTTAAAACTATATTTTTAGTAAAGTTTGGCGGCACGTACAATCATTGGAGTCATGACGATCCATAGCGAAGACAGGAAGAGCTTTTTAGAAACTTGGTTTTTTTGTGTTTAATACATGGGTCTTATATGTATTTTACCATTTATACAAAGGTTTTTAACACCCCGCTCCCGAGTTCAACTTAAGGAGAGAAAAGAAGGGAAATTGATGGAAATGAGAGGAAAGTAAGAGAGATTGATGTTGCTGAGTTTCATTAAAGGAAGGAAGTGGAAGGAAATGGAATAATCACTTTTCCTCCTAACTTTCCTTCCGATTTGGAAGGATTTAAAAAAAAAAAAAGAATAAAATGTTTAACTTTCTTTCCATTTCTCTTCAACTCGGGAACATAAAAGACAAATTTGTTTTTGTTTCTTTTCTCTCATTACTTTCTTTTATCTTTTATTTTTTTCTTTGCTTCAACTCGGGAGCGGGGTGTTAGGATGTTAGGTTTTTAGGTTTATAATAAAAATAGTTTAAAAAGTAAAACAAATATAAGGTTTTCGATGTTAAGTTTCTCGTGTATATACTAAAATTAGAATAATTTTAATAGGTGGAATATTATATAATTTTCTAATAATTATATTGTGTTTTTCTCACGTTACAATAGTAGCTATATCTTTTATGAAGACTGAAGTGGTAAACTAATTGAAATCGGACCGCCCAATTAGTTGTTCGGGCCATATAATTGAACAAGCCCAATATCCAATTGAATTCAATATAAACCACCACAACCCTCCGTCAGTTAGGGTTTTACTGGCTGCAGCGATTTGGAGAAGTTCGTCGCATCAACGTCTTGAAGAAGAAACTCAAATCGCAGCCATGGTAACATCTAAATCCTTACCGTGCTATTTCTTCCATGTTTTTCATTTTCTTTGTTATTTCATATCTGTATTTGTGGCGATGTTCTAATGTTGTGTTGTGCTGTGATGTGATCTATTTTGCAGTCTCTGGTAGCAAATGAAGATTTTCAGCATATTCTTCGTGTACAGAACACGAATGTTGATGGAAAGCAAAAGATCATGTTTGCTATGACCTCCATTAAAGGTATCGGTCGTCGATTCGCAAACATTGTCTGCAAGAAGGCCGACGTTGATATGAACAAGAGGTACTTTCTATTCTTCATGTTTTTCTCTGTTTCATTTTCTATATTTCAATCCTTCACATCCTTTGAACGATTTTCGTGACTGAATTTGTCCTCTATTATTATCTTCATTTTATGATCATGTTTCTTTCAACAAGTTGTATTCTTATGATTAGTATACGGCTTTGAATTATTTCAAAAGATGTCTATCAATGTAAACATTCATAGATCAACACATTATATCCAGTTACACTACAATGAGAAGCAACTATAGAGGATCGATGTCAGCTATATTCAAACAAAGCTTTAAATTTTCTTCATACCATAACCTAAATTATCAACATAAATTTACAGGGCGGGAGAACTTTCAAATGCTGAGATTGATAACCTCATGACAATTGTCGCAAATCCAAGACAATTCAAAATCCCAGATTGGTTTCTTAACAGAAAGAAGGATTACAAAGATGGAAAGTACTCTCAAGTCACATCTAATGCTCTCGACATGAAGCTCAGGGATGATCTTGAGCGATTGAAGAAGATCAGGTCTTTACCATTTCCATTATTTTCTTCAAAATCCAACAAACAAAAACTTTAAAAAGTAATAACTTTTTGTTGATTGTATTTGGTAAACAGGAATCACCGTGGTCTTCGTCATTACTGGGGTCTCCGAGTACGTGGTCAACACACCAAGACTACTGGTCGTAGGGGAAAGACTGTTGGTGTGTCCAAGAAGAGATAAGTGTCTTTTTAAATTTTGTTTTGGGAAATCCCTTAAAGTTGTTATTTGCATCAGATTTAGAAGATTGTTATGATTGTGGGGTAAAAGCTGTTATGTTATGCTTGTATTTTTTTGGATTCTTTATCGGAGAGGTTTTTATTTTTACATTTAAGGGTTGATTGTAATGAGTGAATGTGATCTGACCTCTTTTTTTTCCCCAATGTGCACTTCTACAAAATAGATGGGTTAAGTTTAAACTGGGCCTCTGCTGTTGACCCAAACATGGCCCAAAATTTTAACCCGGTTTAGAAACCATGTTTTGGATTCATCGTTTATATCATTGAGCTTCAAGTCTTCATCGAGCTAAAGCTATATTTTTGATAGTTATTTATGTAAAAGTGTTTAGTTTAAATTTTAAATAAAAATCAAAAGTGAAAACTTGAATTAAAATTTATTTAAAATAAAAACTAAAAGTCAGGATAGGTTTTTTTACATTGAAAAGACTATTGAATTATGACGTTGATAATAACGTATGCTATCAAATCAGCCCAACTATCATATAACACAGAATATGATCAAATCTTAGTGTTCAATCATATAACAATCTTCTCAAAACAACCAACAACAAAACTAAATTGTCCGGTTTTTTATGCAAGGAACTTTAGGTACTCAATGGGTAAACCCTAGAAAGTTCGTAGAACATTTGTGTCATTTTCCTTTTATGCAAAAGTGAGATCTTTTTATAATTTTCCTTATTTTCGAATTACATGACAAGTCAAAGCAAAACTCAATTCAAAACAAGTTTCTAACTAAGCAATAATGTCTAATTTCTACATCAAAAGTTGAAGGGTAAAAAGGTTTGTAGTATTCTATAAAATCTCATAATACAAATTTTCATATTTGTAGAAAATTCTATAAATGGAAAACTACTTTTAGACAAATATGATGGATTAAAAGACGATTGAGGGCCAAATAGGGTTTGTTAACATAGTTATTTTCATTAGTTTAAAGGCAAGTTGTTGGCATGGATAGAGGGTTTATTGATGAAAAATATTAAAAAGCCAACTACAATAGCATGTGGACTAGTACAAACTATAAAGATGGAGTGATCAATGATTCGACTGTTTGTACTTTTGCATCTTACTAAATTTTATATTTAAATAAATTACTTATTGTAAGCATACAAACTATTTTTGTAAAAATTCAAAAAAGCCTTTACAATTTGATTTTTTTTATTCAAAAATGCACACAGTTGTTTTTACCATGGCTTTTAACTTTTAAATTGAGAAATTTAGTTGACGGAGAGTAGTGTATTTTTGTAAAGCTGATGTGCCACTTTTATTTTTACTAAGAGTTTGATATTTCATATTTAAAGGCCACATCAGCCTAAAAGGAAATGGAAAAGAAGTGCATATTGTAAGTTTTGGATTTGAGAAATGTGCTTTTTAGGTCGTTGATTAATTTGATACAAGTAGATTGCAGGTCCAACCTAAGATTTTTTATTTTCTGGTACACAGATAGTAATTAGCAAGGTTTTAAAAAGCTTGTCATTACACGCTAAGGCTTCAAGACTTGTATGTACCGTCAAACTTTACAAAAACGCCGTCTTTACTTATATATGTGTATAAAAATAAATAATAATTGAAAATACATATAAAAATATGAATTATGTACAAATTTTCCGCCTTAAGTTACGTCTTACAAACGACGTGGCTCGCTAAGGCTCGGAAAACCTTGAGGTTTGACATTGCCGCCAAGTCACGCCTTACAGTATTTAGAATCTTATAATTAGTAATTACCGCAAAGTCATTCAAAATTTCTTATCTGTATCAATGTCGTTGATGGCTTTGACCCGACAAAGGATTTCATATGAATGTATAGAATTTCAAGGGATTTATGAATTAGCAATTTCCAATGAGTTGGGTGTTGGTTTAGTATGTGTCTTAACTCAACATGACAAGGTTATAGTCTATACATCATAAAAGTTAAGGGTATATGGAGGGAAATATCCAAATCACGATTTAGAGTTGGTTGTGGTTGTTTTCCACATAAGATTTCAAAGACACTATCTTTATAGTACAAAATGAACAGTTTGTAATGATAAGAGTTTGTCGTACCTAGTTAACTAGAATGAGTTGAATAAGAGATACAGACATTGGATTAGGGATGTAAACAGGTCAGAAATCGGTCCAAACCGGATCGGAACCAAAAAACCAAAATCTGATTAGGGAGTGAATGGGGAACCAAGAACTGGACCGAATACTACTAACCGGTTTCAACCAATTCTACTAGGAAATGTGTTTATTTAAGAAGGTATTTAGTATCAGAATCAGACCAAAACCGAAAGAACTGAAACAAAAAATGATGGATTGGGAGAATTAGGAAGCAAACTGAATACCAATAAACAGTTTCATCAGGTTCTGATTCTAATTCGATTTCGGTTATGGATCGACTTTTCGGTTAAAAAGTTCATCCGTACATTGGATTACAACTACAAGATTCTTTACCATCCGAGTAAAGTTAATAATGTGGGTGACACCATACAAGAAGGAAAACCCTGAAAGGAAAAAAAAAGTAAAATCTTTACAAATTGAACTTGTAACAGTTAAGGTTGAAAAGATAAAGGTTTTTGGCACAACACAACCAAGTTTGATGAATTTACACATCTAGTTACTCAAGTATTCTTTGTGCTCAATTAGTCCTTAAAGTATGAAATTACATGTCAATTACACCATTATGCAACTGACAACTGGAACAACCGGTCGGATCCCTGATGAGGCATTTAAATAGATTTGATAAAAATGTTTTTGAAGTCCATGTATGTAAAACACGTCACATTTAAATAAATTAGACAAAATTGTTTTTGGTTTTAGATCCTTGGTCAATGCAGCAAACTCTAGTTACTTTTTTCTTTCACTCACATTTTCTTTCTCCGGATGCCGGTGATGCTTCGGCAACCAAACCCAACCAGTGGTGGTGAATATTCCTGAGATTGAATGGAATCCAACCAACCAAGAGTACATTTAAAATTAAAAAAAAATGATGATCGGTTCAAATAAAACATGAAATCAGATCGAATTGTTTACAAAATGAGATTGTGCTTTAGTCCCAATCCATGCTTTCTACGAACACATCGAGGCTTGTTAAACTGATTAGCGATCCGTGAAGATTTTTTCATCTTTGGACACGCCCTTTTCCCCAAATCATCATGATCATCATCATCATCGATTGCATGCTGACGGTTGAAAGGGACTAGATGGGTAAATCACGGGTGATGAACGATAGGTGGCGAAGGCAGACGTTGTGTAGATAGGGTGTTGAAGTGACAATACTCCATTGAGAATAGATCGAAACAAAGGAAGAGAGCTGGAGTGTCGAATTCTGGCCTGAGGAGGAGGTGTGGGTAGTAGAAAAAATAGTGTACAAAGAGTAAAACGATGAGAAAGTGGCAGAGTAAATGAACTGCCACGGAAAATGGAGTAGAGGACGGAGGGATGAACACGACAAATACATAGTGGGGCAAAGATATGTCAGGCTACGAAGATCTATAAGCTTGTTGAAGTAGAAGATCGACATCCACCACGACTTCGTCTTCATCGGAGGTGACGACACTAGACACGAGACCATACACACACAAAGAGAGAGAGAGAGAGAGAGAGAGAAATGCCATTGTCAGAAACCTATCTCAAATCGGAGCCACCACTTCCTTGCGGCTAAGAGCATAGACCACCACATTGGCCTTCCCTGGGTGATAAAGGATCTCACAGTCATAATCATTCACCACATCTAACCACTGATGCTGCCTCATATTCAAATTTGTTTGATCCATCAACTACCTCAAGCTCTTGTGGTTCGTGTAAATCCTACAATGAACCCCATAGAGGTAGTGTCGCCAAATATTGAGAGTGAAAACCACAAGCCCCAGCTCCAATCGTGCGTCGGATAGTTCGCCTCAAGAGGCTTCAACTGCCTCGAAGAATATGCTATCACATGACCCCGCTACATCAAATGAAACATCCCAAAGATACGGTCCAAAAATTTCATTTTCAAATCAATAACAAAACCATAGTTAACAATCCATTACATAAAGTGATAAGTCATGTATCTCAAACATCAAAAACATCTGTCAAACATATCAGAGTCAACACATCCCTGGCTGAATAAATGGTGTGTGCACTGCAGTCATCCCGAGCTCTTCCCTTAGTTACCGATAGTACCTGAAACCAAAACTAAAAACTGTAAGCATGAAGCTTAGTGAGTCTCCCAAACTACCACTTACCATACACATATCATATAACATGCAACTGGGAGATATGGGCCTCGCGCACACTCAAGGAGATATGGGCCCCCGCCCACACTCAACTAACTATGAGATACGGGCCTCGCCCACACTCAGCTATCTCAGAGATATAAGTCTCGTCCACACTCTGCTAACTAGGAGATACGAGCCTCGCCCACACTTGGCTATCTATGAGATACAGGCCACGCCCACACTCAACTATCTCAGAGATACGGGCCTCGCCCACACTCTGATAACTAGGAGATACGGGCCATGCCTACACTCACTTGGCTAGGAGGTACGAGCCTCTCCTACGCTATGCGTTCCGAGAGATACGGGCCGCCGCCCATACACTACTAACTAAACATACATACAAGTATCACGCAAACAAGTATAACCATAATCTACCAATTCAATCCTATATACATACTCAAATAATGCTATAAGATACGGGCCCCGCCTACACTCAACTAATAATGAGATATGGGCCTCGCCGATACTCTATGAGATACGAGCCCCACCCACACTTGGCTAACTAGGAGATATGGACCCCGCCCACAATCCACTGACAATGAGATACGAGCCTCGTCCACAATCACATTCCTAAGAACACATACAAGTATCACACAGACAACAAGTATATCAATCTAACAATCTGACTGATATCTATACTCAGATAACAATGAGATACAGGCCCCGACCAGACTCCGTGTTCCTATAAATAACATACAAACTACATGGGCCGACATTGGTGCCTTCGACTCGTTCAAGCCAGGAGGAAACTCACCTCGCACTGCTGAAGTCCCATGACTAATTCTCTGGTTGTTGGCTGACAAGTCCCAAAACTGTCAATCGTCAAAACAAAACCCAATTAACCATTTGGGTTTCAATGCATTACTAAAAATACACACTTGGGGTAAAAAAACCATTTTACCCCTAACATAGCTTGGTCCAAGTCCAAAGCCCAACTCATACTCTGAAAGCCCAAAAGTCAATTACTCAATCAAGGCCTAACATATGGCCCGATTTTCCAAATTCGGCCCAAACCTCTACATGGTCTTACCTTAAGACCCAACCATTTATTA